GCCTGCTTAGACTCTTGGCACTCTTAGGTGAGCAGACTTAGTCAGCCTGTGTTGCCCTAACAATACCCATACTTGTCGCTCCTTGAAAGCCTGCTCACCTGTCTTTTTGTGCACTGGACCCCTTTGCACCTGCTGCCTTCCAAGTTGGATCATGGCTGCATGTTCCTCCTCTGCTCTCCATATGTTGAAGTCATTTGGCAAGTCCCATTGGTGAGTGTAGCAACCAGAGATGAGCTCAGTGGCAAGGTGGCCAGGACAAGGCTTAGACATGGCTGAGTGCAGCCTGGGGAGACACAAGAACAATGTGAGAGGAGGGACTGATGAAAAGGGAAAGAAAAAAAAACCATGTGCAGTCACATGCAGTCACATGGGAATGGCAATCCATCTACCATAATTACATATGTGCTCCTCCAAAAGGTGCAATTCAGGTTGACATTGCAGATGAACCAGGCATGTCATCAACCTGAACTCAGGGTTGACACCAGGTCTTATCAGCCAAAAGGGCACACTGAATCCCCCTTGCTTCAGCACTGTCTGCTTTTAGCTTTTCAAGGATGGCTTCCTACTGCCTTTCTCCCATCTTTTCCAGGCCCTCATTTGGTGACATCAGAGATGTTTGTAATAATCAATAATAGACAATTAATATTATTAGACATTGATAGTATGATATTGTTGCTGAGAGCAGCCCCAACAATGTGAACAAGGTCATACCAGCAGCCTTTGGCAACCACCTCCTACTTAACCCACCTCACCTCAATCCTCATCCTCAATCCTCATTTTCACCCACCTCATCCACCTCATCCACCTCATCCACCTCATCCACCTCATCCACCTCATCCCCTTCATCCCCTTCATCATAATATGATCCATCTTCTTCACCCTCCCCAGTTGCAGGCCCAGTGGCATCCTGCTCAAGGACCTGCCCTCTGGACAACCCCATGGTGGTTGTCTCTGCCTGCCACTTATACACCTCCCCCACTGCCTCCTTGACTGCCTCTTCATCTGCAGACTCCAGATACAATTGTCTCTTGGCCTTCCAGATACAATGGATCCAGCTGTTACTTTGATCAGCCCACCATATTATGAGCCACTGCATCGGCCAACTCTTACTTCAATATTTCATCCAGATCCTGCCTGCAATGCTCTTCAATCCCCTGTAAGCTGGAATCCACATACTTCCAGTAGTTTGACAGTGGGGGCACACTCTCAGCTTTACCAGTGAATGGGTTCAGCACCATCTGCTTCTCTTTGTCTTTTTGGTATTGAAGGATTGCCCTCTGTGTAATGTAATATCATATTATTATTGGACATGGCTTCATCTGCATTAAAGTTCTCTCACCAGCACAGTGATCTGAGCCCAGTTTGCCAGTTGGAAGTGAAAAGGCACACTGTCCAGAAGCAAGGCTTTGCAAGTCACTGTGAGGCTCATGTTGAGCATCAAAATTAGCTAATACATTCCAAGTTAACCACATCTCAGTAGGGCTTCAGCTTTCTGACCTTGTTCTTTACCCAAGACTTGCAGTTAGATAGTCATTCACTCAAGAAGGATGCCAGCTCATTGCACTGGGCCTTGACTTGATATGTGCTGTTGGGAATCTTCAACTGCTCCTTGTGGCTCTGGACATGTCTCTGGAACAGTATTAGTGCAGTACCAGGGAAGAGACAGGGCTTACCATGAGAGTGTGCATCATGCTCAATGCTGAGTACTTAGCAACCCCAGGGTTGAGCACAAAGCAATAGATCTCTTTGTTAATTTCTTTCTGTAGTCATTGTCTGTAGTACAGATTCTTTCATGGGTTATAGACATACCTGGCTTGCAACACTCAGCTTTCACATCTCCTTGTCTTTCTTCTTCATGGACACAACTGTCTCTTGGAGAGCCACAAGCTGGCACATTAGATTCAAATACACTACTGTTGGATCAGCCAACCCCTCCCTTGCCACCTCCATGATTGCAGCTTCTCATGCTTTGGGAACCTTCTAGCATCCCAATGCTTGCAGTGCCATGTTGCTGAGGTCTTGTTTTCTTCCTGGTCAGTGGATAGCAGCTTCCCCACTTCCTGTCAGCACCCTCCATGGCACAATCACCACTTGCTCAACACTAGGGAAATCCCTGGATGTCCCTGAGGGGTCAGTATCATGATCTGTTCAAGGAAATATAGCACATAACTTGTCTTCACTCTCCAACATGCCTTCAGGGAGCTCCTTATCCAGGGCATGTGTCCTTGCCCACTTTGCAGCTCCCCCTCCAACTCCTCCCATGGCCATCTCACCAGTTCCCACCTGTGACCCAGTCAACCTTCTCTTACCCCTTCCTATACCTCCCTTGCTTGCATGATTTGACTGAGCTTGAGTCTGGCTTGGAAGCCCAAGTCTGTTTGTGTGATTAGTGCTGGGGACAGATCAGCCAACCTCTGGGTCCTAAGGGACAGCAGATGACTCATGAATCAGCACAGTTTTCAAAAAGGCAGCCATATTAGTCAAGCTTTGCTATTATTACTGCAAGCAGAAATATTAGCACAAGGTTGGTGGAGAGAAGAAGGCAAAAAAAGACCATGCCAGTGCAGTGCAGTCAAGTCTTTCTCACCAGGACCAATTGCCTTGATCTCATGTGTAACTTGGATCTTCCCTCTTCCCACATCCCACTTACAGTGGCATCACCACTGTAAGAAGAAATAGATGGCACTGATGGGCAACATCCTCCTCCTCAAGAAATCATGGTGGTCTACTGCCAAGGCTGCCAACCACCTCCTACTCAAGAGGAGGTTCACACAGGATGTCCTGCACAGCAACCACCTCCTATACTCAATTCCACAATGTTCATTAGTGAGACAACCAGTAATCTGTGTGCACTAGAAATAGACTAACCCCTCTGGGCCCAGTCCCATCTGCATCTGCTGGGCTTTGCATCTGCAGCTGATGTCTTCTCAAGAGGCTGCTTGAGTCTGGGGCTTCTTCTGTTGTGGGATTTTCATTGCAAGGGCCATCCTTGCTGCCTTAGACACCTTGCTGAATACTTGTGTGCATAGCTTGTATGGAAGCAGCATGCATATGAGACCACCATTGTGCAAACTAAACATGTTCAGCAAAAACACCTGGTCAGCATGGTGAGAGATTAAGGTCTCCATCACAGCAGAGATCTTGCCTTCTTGCCTCTTGCATTTCATAGTCTGGCCACCATAACTGCCCTCTAGGGAGAAATCATGCTGGACATTGACACAAGCAATGATGTCCTAATACACTCATAGAGTCAGCTAGGCATTAGAAGGTGGATTGATTGATGCCCACCTTAGGTTCCACTAATATCATGACTCCTTTGGGTATCAGCTTGGGGCAGGCCAGTTTTGGGTGCACTTCCCCTATCTGAAAGGGCTCCATAAGCACATGGTGCCTGCAGTGAGTCCATTTGACCCTGGTGCTCTGCTTCTCCCACACAAGCAACTCTCACACTCACCCAACATGCCTCTGAGGGTCAATGAGTGTGGGAAGACAGGTCAAGGAGTTGACTCACTGTAGTACTATTGGTCCTGTACACTGCAAAGGCAGATACTTCAACCCTGTCTCCATTCTCTGCCAGAATGGAAACTGCTTGTTGTAGGTGCATATTGGACAGGTACTTGGTTGGATGGAGTTGCCCAGACAGGCTGTTGGACAATGCTGAGAGATGAGAAATTGAGCACAGTATCTGCAAGATGTCAGCTTCAGTTGGACAACCACCTCCTACTCAACAGCCAGTGAGGGACAGACACCCTTACTGGCTACCACCTCTTACTCACCTTTCTTTACCCCCTCCTCTGCAGAGCAGAGTGCAGCCCCAGGTGCTTTGACCAGTGTGTGCTCTCCTCAGTGTAATGCACAATGGTGTCAGAGACAGTAACCCATTCTCTGCTTTCAGCATCCAACTGGAAACTGCCCTGAACAGTATGCCAGATCCTGTCTGCATTGGCAAATACTCATCCTACATTGCAGCTTGGTGCTTTGTGATTACTATTTACCAAGAACTTGCAGAAGATCTTGTTGAATGATTCCCACCAATCAACACTAAAGCTGAGGGCTGGACCAAATGACCTGACATTGTCTGGCATGTGGAGTAGTATATGGGGTTTGGCCTTGTTGATAATTACACTCAAGTTGACAGTAGCAATAGATAATAGCAAGGCATCTATGGCCAATGCTAAATCTTAGCAGTAAGACTGGTGATCAGGGATATCATGTATCCATAATAGAGAGAACACAAGCCCTAGTACCATCTAGCATTCCAGAATCTCAGGTGTGGTGAGGTCATAGAGTACAAAGACCATGAGCTGCATGAGATCATGGAAGTGCTTGCAATTCAATGCCCCACAGTACTGAAAAATGTATGCCCAATCAAACTTGGATCTGCTAAGGCTGAGGGTGCTGAGGGATCAAAGTTGCATCTCTGCTTGAGCCATGGGTGATCCTGTGAGGGACCTAGACATTCCATCATGTCTGGTTACTGATGGCATGAGGGACTTCCAGGTCATTGTCCAGATATATTTGATGACCCCAAGAGGGCCTGTATGCAGGAGCTCCACCAGCAAATGCTGGTGAATGTCCAGGTCTATGGTTCATGAGTATTGCCATATTCCTGGCAATATGCTGGAACTGCTTACCTTCCAGTTTCAGCGAGGGATTCAGACAGCCCAGTCCACCCTGAGAGTCCAGGTGCTGGGTGAGGGCTGCATCTTTCTCCACTTGAGTGCCCTCTGTCTTCCTAGTAACCTCTGCCAGCTTGCCCAGGAGCACCTCTGATAATTGATCCTTGATACCAAGGACTAATCACAGCTTCTCAATCTTGGTAAGATTCCTGCTCTTCTTGCTGAGCTCTAGGAGCCTCTCCACATGGCAGCAGGTGATGGATATGCAGCAAGATGGTGCCACCTTGGGCCTGTGATCAGCACACATCCAGATGTTTGTACCTGTGCTTACCTCAAAGTGGGAAGCATAGCTGAGTGGTGTATGCTTCCAGGCCTTGCTTCTGCCAATATCACAGATATGGCAGAAGTGGTTGGCTTTCAGGTGGCAATGGCTGCAGAGCTTGGCCTGAGCTGGGTTGTCTCCAGGGAAGAACACAGGCCAAGCTGTGAATAGGATCTCAGTGCAGGTGTGCAGGTCAAATGCAACTGCCCCCTCTTGATTGAGCATCCTGGAGATAGAGTCAGCAAGGGATGAGTAGGAGGTGATTACTGGCCAGGGGTCCCAACTTTACTGACTCTTGAGTAGGAGGCAGTTGCTGGTCAGAGCATCCATCCCTCACTGGCTCTTGAGTAGGAGGTGGTTGCCCAAGCTGCAAGGTTAACCCACCTCAATTGTTCTACCACACCCTCATACATCTCCACAGCCAACATAGTTTTGGAGCATCCCACAAAGTGGATATTCCATTGCTTGTCAAGTTCATGCCTTGGTCAGGTGAGGTTGGACATGCAGATAATATTGTGTTTGCTCCATTTGCAAGAGATGTTCCCTGAGATGTCATCAGCCCAAAGGGCAATGGGGATGGCAACTACTCAGTGCCCTGTGGCCTTTAATTGGAGAGCATGTGGCATGGCATTCCTGATCCAACTTTGCTGATCTGATATTGGACAAGATTGGGGAGTTCACCTACCTGAGAAGGACAGCTGTCTGTCTTCAAGATCAGGTATGAGATTGAGGAATGTATGGGTCACTTCCTTGATCATATGCAGCATTCATTCATTGGTTCAGACATGAAGCTTCCCCTAGGGTTCTCTGTCAGCCACACAAGATGAGAGTATCCAGTCAGTACACATAGAATACCAAGAAAGTGTTCTGCTCCACCATCCAGCCCCATGCTGCAATTGTAGCATCTTGCCTATCTTGAGCTTCTCCCACCTGCACAAGCCTCTTCAGAATGAAGTATTCCATGTGATTGAGGAGGACAAGCTCATCTACAAATACATGCCAGCCTGCATGTATTACCATTGGGGTCAGACAGCAGTCAGGCACATCCCAGCCCCAAAACAACCTGTGCCAGACCTCCCACAGATGCCTTGTTTTGACTATTGGAAAATATTGCACCTGGAGCAATTTAACTGGGTTTGAAAGCTCCTGTTAGCACATCAGCAAGGTTCAAGAGAAAGAAGACAGCACTATCCCATTGTAAAAGATGAATGGGGTTATATAAGTAGTATACCATGCCCTGGGAGGTCTGGTAACACAACTGTGGGTTACCCATTGCTTCCAATGCCTCCTCCTGGAACTTGGTGAGGCAGGTGGGCTTGGGCACACAGCTACCTCTGCAATCCTCTGCATATTGCAGAATACTTTTGGTCTGCCCATGGGAGAACTGCTGATGAAGAGCACTGAACTGTAGGTCAGCTAAATGTAGCTGGCACATTGTCAGCTCTGTTCTGAAGGTGTTCACACACTTACCCCATCATCTGGATAGGGAAATGTCTTGCCTTCTTGGGCTAAACCAAAAAGGCAATCCATTCACTCTTGAATGCACCATGTACCTGCCAATGAGATACAGTGTGCAGATAGAGCCACACTATCCGGCAGTAGCAAAGACCCAGAGGAAGTATTAGGGTAAAGCTTGCAAAGATCTCCTTGGCATAAGAGCTGGTCTTGAAGGCTACCCACAGCAATAGTCTGTCCTTCTCCAATGTAAAGACAAAGATCTCCAGATTCTGAGTCTTCATACTCGGATCATCCCTTCACTTCTAGCATGGAAGTATGTACATGCATAGCAAAGTCAGAGTTGGCAGGAGGAGACCATTGATTATAGTCATCTGTCCAGGAGAGGACATCAACTTGCTGGGTGTCTTGCTGATGCCCAGATGGCAACAGCACATCCGGCTGCTCATCACACCAACCAGCATATAGCTTATGCTTATCAGTGGCTGCATGCTTCACAAGTTTGCTGGAGGGGGTATGACCTGCTTTTGTGCTCCAATCTGGGCAAACCAGACAGCAACCCTGTGTCCCATAAGAGTTCACAGAAAAATGGCAAGCATCAAGACCAAGCTTAGTATATAAGAACATAGACTACTGTTAGATAGATGCCAAGTTAAGCAGGAGGAACTGGTTTAGCAGACAATGGAGTAAAGGAGACCAATGTGATCAAGGATGTGACAACCATATAAACAATGACAGCAGGCTGGATACACTTAGAAGCACTTTGTCCATTGATGTTGACATTGCCCTGCTGAAGTGCTCTGATCCTCAAGATCATCTCAGCAACTGTCATGATCTTCACAAGCTTGGTACAGAGAATGCTAGAGGGTGTGCAGATCCAGGTCAATGTGAGAGCAGACAACAGGACAGCCAATGAGCACTTTGTGAGAATGAGGGATGACCCCTCCTGACTGCACTGCTGATCATCAAACAGGAGGTATTGGTCAAAGTACCAAAGGACCTTTGTGGCAATGTGCAAGTAATTACTGAGGATAGCACCCTGTGTATCTTGCACAAATCCAAACAACCCAAACCAGCAATGAGCAGTACACTTGCCTGGCTTGCACCTTACCAGGTTTTCCCACTCTCAGATGGGTCACAGACAGGGAGATGGGGCAGGAGATGGGGTGGAAGAACAGGAGAGGCATGGAAAGAGGAGGAGAAGTGATTCAGAGAGCCCAGGCTTGCCAAACATAGAGGTGGGGAATATGGTGTCAGAGGATGTGCATTTGATAAACCATGGCAAGACAATGAATGCTTAGTTTCCTCCTCAATATGCTTGATCTTACAGTGGTCTGGCACTGTAATCTAATTTATGGAAGGATGTATCAACAAATGTGGATAATGGGATAATGCATGGATTGACAGGACTATTAAAACATAGAGCCCATGGACCCTATGTGGGACTCAGTGAGCTTGCAAGGATACATGGTATACAAGTTGCACAGGGTTGCTACAGACTGATACACACTGCTCTGGAGCACTCTGAGAACCCCTTTCCAATCATACCAGCTGCCAAAGACTCCACTATGTCACAAGGGGCAGTTGCAACATGATAGAGCCACCTGGAGAGCTGGGCTCCGGTGTCATAGCAGCTTTGGCAAAGGATCTTGGTGCAATCATAACCTGGGTTCTTGAGTAGGAGATGGTTGCTGGGCAGAGAAGCCTTGCCAGACTTGAGGTTTGTGTTGAGTAGGAGGTGGTTGCCAGGCAGAGAAGCCTTGCCAGACTCAGTGTGACAAACTTCAAGGTAGCTGATGATTGCCTCAATGAGAGCCTCATTGCTGACCTGTGAGCAAGCTGAGCCTTGGAAAAAAGCAATGACACAGTCAACAAGAGCTTCAGCAGTGTCCAAGGAATCTGTCACCATTACATAGGCTTGATGGGCAAGATCAGCCCCAATAGCATAACAAGCCTCACACCTATTGGCTGGAGAGGACACTATAGCAGGGTAGTTGACATGCACTGTTCTGTCCATGATGCAAAGTGTCAGCTCCCCCTGTCCATTGCCCCACTTGTCATTCTCAGTGCTCATCACTTTGATATAGAGAGGATTCTTCATATTGGATGAATTGAGGAACAGCCCATGAATGGTGATCTATGGCTTATCAGTCAGCCACTGGAGCAACTCTGCAAAACCAACCATATTACCAAGGTAATTTCAACTTTGTCTATAATATAGAAGGTCAAAATATAGAATGATGGCCAAAAGGAATAAACTTACAGCTTTGTGTGCAAAGTTTAGTATGGAACTGGGTACTTGGACATGGTGGTGATTGATGAAGATGACAACTCAAGGAAGACATGAGTTCCAGGCACTGTATAGTATTTGCATCTGTGTGCATGATGGGCATCAAGCATTGATTTGATCAATGCCTGACAATGAAATTATCAGTTCAATTATGATTAATAACACCACCCAATATTTGTAAGTATAGTTGTAGAGGAGGAACCCTTTAAATTCATGAAGAATTAATGACATGTTGTAAGGAGGATGGTGAGAAAAGGGCAAAGTAATTGGTGATATCAGACAGGGGTGTGGGACTTGCACAAGGGAAAGTACTGTTAGGGCAACACAGGCTGACTAAGTCTGCTCACCTAAGAGTGCCAAGAGTCTAAGCAGGCAACAAGGAAGTGGAGTAGACCTGATGACTAAGACCTATCTACAGTATAGGTACCTGTGGATGATCCTAAGAGACCAAGTCTGAAGAGACAGTCCCAGGCAGAGTAGGCCTTATATTTATACCTCTGTGGTGGAACCTGCTAGAACATCTTGCTTACTCAGCCTAGTCAGGTGATCAGGTCATATGACCAAGGATGAGGTCATATGAGGTCATGCACAGCCATGCACAGCAGGTCACCTGACCATCCAATCCTTCCAGCAGGTT